TTTTTTACTTACTTTTTACTTTTTTTTTTTTTTTTTTTTTGTATTTCTTATAACATAACTCAGAAATATAAAAAAGGGGAAGAGAAAACAAAATAAATAAAGAGAGTTGAACATACAGGTCACCAGAGGCATCACATGTAGTTCTTACATCCTTCTTATACAGTTATTTTTATAATAGGAGTTACTTTCCCAATAATACCCCTTTTGTTAATTGAAGTCCATAAGTTTCAGTCATTTTAAGTCCTTAAAGTTCAGTCCATTCAGTGTATTTCCATTAAGCAAGTACTTCACATATATGGAGGGAAAAAAGGGTGGGTTCAATTTAAGAGTGCTTTATTGGCATGACAAAAATTATACATTTGTATTGCCAAAGCAATTGCAGCTGGACTGCTTACAAATAGTACACATATGTATTAACAGAAAGAAAAAGAATAATAGTAATAATAATAATATATAGAAAGTATTGTGAGTAAAGCAGGGTGAGTGTTTTCTCTTCTATGGTGACAGGCAGACACATACTGAGCAGCAATATGGTATCACAGATATAATCGCTTGTTTCCAGGACACTGGGGTTCCCCTCTTCAACTGAATTTGAAGAGTCTAGGGTAGGATGCAACTGTACATTCCAGTCCCCAGCACAAATAAGAATACCTGATACACAGATAAGAATACCTGATACTTCTGAAGCTATTAAATCAAATATTTTCTTAATAAATATTTTATCCTGTCCTGGTGGTCTATAAACATTAAATAATGTTACTTCCCTAGAGTCAAGGATCCCTTTTACCAAAATGTAATGTCCCTCTTTATCAGCAATTTGGCTGGAAGCCTGAAAAGTCGCCTTTTTCGAAATTAATAACTCCTCTAGCATGTCCCTTAGCATAGGATGAATAAAACGTGTTACTAAATCCTAACCTTTTCAGTTTCTCATGTTCAGTTTGTAACAGGTGAGTTTCTTGCCAAAAAATTATATGTTGGGTCTCTCTTTTCATCTTTGCTATGAGTTTACCTCGTTTGATAGGATTTTGTAACCCGTTAACATTAAGTGATATTATTCTATATTCTTGCTGCAACATTTATCATCATACACTTTCATACTGTAAGCCCTGGTTGACCTTAACATCGTAACACATTTAACACAGCATCGAAAAATATGAAATGTGCAACCAAAACAAAACAGTAACTTCCATGATCAAAGTTTCTTCTTAAGTAACTTCTGTTTGGAAAGGAAAATCTTCGATTAACGAAGGGCCTCCCCAGTGCAATCCGATATTATAAATCAGTGCACTTAGTAGAATAATTCTTCCTAGAACTCCCAGACAAAAACGTTTTTCATTTATGAATCTGTTAAGCTAAAAACTTAAATTAACCATAATGAAAATAATTTTATCCAAACTCAAGATTCATAGCCTTTGTATGAATATTGTCCTTCTTGTATTAAACTATCATTCTGGTTCTGGTTCAATCTTGGCTATAAATTATTTTTAACTAATAAACTCCTGTATGTTGTCCCCTTCAGCCTCCTCCAGAATTCCAAACAGTCATATATTGTTTCGTCGAGATCTTGCTTCGAGATCTGTCAATTTTGTTAGCATTTTTTGCTGGCTGTCAAGGGTTTGACACAGCACTTCTTTAGCTTCGGTGTTCCATTCTTCCAAATCCGTCACTCTCTGTTCAGCCTCCTCCAATCTACCCATCGTGTCCTTCAAATCTGTGGTGATTTCGTTCAGTTTCAGGTTGATGTCTGTTCTAAAATTTGCCAAATCAGTTTTCATGTCTCTGGAAAGAATCTCGTGAAAATTGTTTAACTCCGTTTTTACGTCCAATCGGATAGCTTTAATATCAGTGTATATAGCGCCAATACTACTTTGAAAGGTATTCTCGGCTTTGTGCTCGCCAGCGTTGTCTTTATTTTCCGCTGTTTGTTTTTTATTTTTCTCGGGTTTTTGGGATGCTTTGTTTCTAGCCTTTCGTTGCGTCTCCCCCTCCATGTTTACTAGTTAATTTCAAAGAGTATAATGAATTAAATTCGGGGAGAATAACACTTTGTCTGGGAGTTCTCACTCTACGCTGCCACTCGCCCCGACGCCATACCGGAAGTCAAGCAACATTTCTTATGATTATCAATGTTGAAAACATATATGTGGAAGCCATAATACATTTTATTTCAGGATTCTATTATGAACAGAACGTTTAAAATAACAACATTTATTCTTTTGTACATGTCTTTACTGTCACTTTTGATCAAATAAATGCATTCTTGCTGAATAAAAATAATTTCAATTTCAATTAATTGAACAATAGGCTATGTATTTTTTGTATTATAGAGCAGATGGTTTTCACTATGGTCACAGTTGAGTTGTAATGTTTGGTTGTTTTAATTTGGGACATTTAATTTAATATTTTTCAGTGTCACCTAAATAAATTGTTGCTGTTCTGTTGTGACTGACTAACCTTAGCTTACTACATACTGCTTTGCTTTTTCTCCGGACATCCGCTGGCTTTTTGCTGAATTTGAATGACCATTACATTTGAATGACCACAGCATTTGTACAAACACTTCAATGAAACTGACTTTAAGCAGGTGGCTTCTACACTCACTCACGATACTAACATAGACACGATAGTACATAATACTAGGCTCAAAACACACTCACTGTTTGTGAAGGAATGTCATCTGTGGCATACCGGTCACCAAAAAAGTCCAGCTCAGTGGGTTTTGCCACTGGTTTTAAGGAGTTTGTGATTGACTTTGCTTGATCAGACTTTGCATCATTTCCTGACTTCTGAACATCTGATTTCTGCAAGGAATTTTGCCCCAGCTCTTCAGCAGTGTCCAGTTCATTCTCAGCAGACGGTTGATATTCCAAAGAACTGCTGTCATTCTTGCCAGAAAAAAACCTGCAGGCAAGAAAATAAAAAATAAGCAATGTTTTTCCACTTCCTAACAGCAAGAATGAAGCCAAAGACCACCCGCTCAATTAAAGGGGCCATTAGGAATAGGGAAACCACTGAATCATACATCAATATTTCACTGTTTGCCATAGAAAACAGCTGACTTGATATCTGATACATCAGCAAACACATCTTAATGAAAACAGGTATGACAGCAGTCTGATGGCTTCATAACTGGGGCAAGTGCCTCATTGTTCAGTACAATAAAAAGCAGATAACTGATAAGAGAATAGGAAATAAAAACTATATATAAAGTAGAGGTATAAATCAAATGAAAGCACAAGGAAACTGATTACTGGCATCATACTTCAAAATTCATAAAGAAATAGTTCACCCAAAAATATAAAAATTGGTCACTCTCGGGCAATGTATATGAGTTTGTTTCTTCATCTGACCAAATTTGGAGAAATTTGGCCTTACATCACTTGCTCACCAATGGATCCTCTGCAGTGAATGGGTGCCGTCAGAGTCCAAACGGCTGATAAAAAAACATAACAATAATATTCAAGTAATCCATATGACTCCAGTCCACGAGTAAAAAAAAAATCATACATGTAAGAAAAAATCCTTTATTTAGATGTTCTTAACTTTAAACCATCATGCCAAAATATGAGTTTATAATTTATGATACCTCAAACATGAGTCTATAATTTATGATACCTCTTCTTCTCCTGTTGTCCTCTCACATCAAAATCTACTGACATACAGTATTTGTTTAGAACTGTTTGGACTGTTCTCACTTATAAACAGTGCTTGATCTGTGCATATTTCTCTCCTGATCCAGAAAAGTCAACTTTTTCCACTGAAGGAAGCAATATGACAGATAGAGGACTTGTATTTTAGTTAGAATCAATGGTTTGAAGTTATAAACATCTTAACAATGAATTTATAACAAATATGCAGGTTTTCGCTATACAAGATGCTAAGTGATGGACTGGAGTCGTGTGGATTACTGTGATGTTTTTATCAGCTGTTTGGACTCTCATTCTGACGGCACCCATTCACAAGACATGTAATGCAAAAACACATATACATCTTCAATGGCATGAGGGTGAGAACATTTTAAGAGTTTAGTTTTTTTTTGTGTGAACTACAGCTCATTTTCAATTCATTATTCTCAAACATTAAACATAATTATAGAGTTACTGGTACAACAGGTTTTCAAAGGGTAATTTTGAAATGCCATAAACTACTAATAACAGAACCACAAGTTTTAATGCCAGCTAGTTTGTGCCATTTCCTGACTTTCTGTTTTTTTTTTTTTTTTTCCAACCATGCTTGTGTTAAAATTAGAGCTTTGCCCTTTTAAAAGCATCTGGGCTACATTTCACATAACAGACCCTACTTTCAGAGCAATGATTGTGCACTTCTCTAGAGAATACACTTCACCAGAGTTAAAGCCAAAGCCGAGCGATTCTACGCCTGACTGAACTAAAGGAGCAGACCCAAAGCCGTAGATCTCATGTTGTTCATTTCTGTCCCTTACTGGAGAACAAAGCCAATAACTAAGGAAAGGTGATATCCCAAATGGTTTCCGCCTAACTACTTAAACATCTAAGGGAGTTTATTCCTTCTGCTGCCAATTTTAGCTGCTCATTGGGACATTTATAAGCCTCTATTATTTGTGAAGCTGTTTTGGAACAATATGTAGGCTGGCTATTGTGGAAAGTGCTGGGCAAATTAATTGACAACAAAACATAAAATCACTCTCTTAGCTTGTGACACTCGTCTCCATAGCAAAACCAAACATGGCTTCATGCTGAAATGATTATCAGAGGAAGTGTGCACTGTGATCAAGAATCTCAGGAGACAACATGCGGACTGTGACATCACTAACTAACTAAATGACTGACTAACTGACAAATGGAAAAACAGCTCAACCTTAACCTTAATCCAACTTCCTCAGTAACTTTTGTTGTTCATGCATTAAAATAGGGCTGGCAGTCAATTAAGATATAGATTTTTTAATTGTATTAGCACATTAACTTCCTTTTTAAAAGAAAGAAAATTACACATGTGGAAAGAAGTCTCACTAACAACAGTAATATTATGAAATATTATTAAAATGTCAATTTTTCCATTGTAAACACACACACACACACACATACACATAGCTGCAAATTCAGCCTGTGCCATCACTGGAATAAATTACATTTGGAAAAAAAAACATAAAATAATAATAATAATAATGCTAATATTTAATAATAAGAATGATATGTTATAACACTATAAAAACACTATAATTTCCTTGAATAAAAACCATTAATTGCCGTAAAAAATTGGGGGGGGGGGGGGGGGTTTCTCGCAGCAATACCAAAGAAGAATCATTTTGGGTTCCCCAAAGAACCTTTTAGTGAACAATTTTTTCTTACTAGGCAGAATATTTAAAGAACATAAAATTTTCCTTTTTCCACTATAAATAACTTTTTTTGAAATGGATATGTTCCATGGATGTTAAGGGTTCTTTATTGGCATCTGGGTCAATCAAGAATCTATAGTATAACATCCTCTTCACAAGTTTGTAAAGATGTCCACATAAAATTGAAAGAGTTCTCACTTTACCTGAAATGTTTACTTGGGAGACTCATCACTTGCCATGGCACCTGAATCTGCGTAGTCATGCAAACCACGAATAACGTCAATAACGCGACACCCAATAACCCAATGAACCACAGCAGAAGCCTCGAGGGCAGCCGGCATGTCATCGTGCTACTTTCCTTGTGTTGCAAGTCTGCGTTCCCAAGAACGTCTGGTCACCTTGTAAGCACATGAGCGTTCTCCTGAGGAAGGGTTGAAGCAGTGTTTTGATGAAACTGGGGTTTAAAAGTGCTCCTCAAGGGAAAGGGTTGGGAGGGTCGTTGCCAGTTAATTAGTTGGTTTTGAGCTCTGGCTTTCACACGTGGGAGTCTCCCGGCACCACTAGGACTTCTGTGAGAGGAGGAAAAAAAACAAGAGAGTGAACTCCACATGGCGGTTTCTACACAGTAATCCTGTTTTAATTAAAGGGTCTGGAAAACCAGGAAGATGTGATTCTGGTTTCAAAGTGCACCTTTGCTCAAAGAGCGTTTTAGACGCTAATGAATAGTGTCAAAAAGACTGCAGGATTTGATAAAGGAAGAAAGCGGGGGGAACGGGTGAAAGGCAGAAAGAGTGAGCATGAAATTACCATACAGACGGAAAATGTGGCTGTTTTCAGAGTCGAATAAAGGAGAGGGTGAGGGAAAGCCTGAGATACTGTGGTAAAATAGCTTGTTAGTAACTCTCCCTCGAGTAGCGGTTCTTCTAGGAAGCCAGCATTACTCCCTGAGGAAATATTTCCCTATGACCACATTTCACTGCAAAAAGTGATTTTCTTGTCTTGTTTTCCAGTACAAGTATCTAAACATTCTTAAATCAAAATAAACGTACATAAGAAGCGAAATGCA